AGCCGAAACCGGGACCGGCAAAAAAAAAAGAAGAAAGAGAAAAAAATAATGTACAGGGAACCAGCGAGTGATTTATCTAGCCTGCAAAAAGCGCTTGACTCCGGTGTGAACAGTCGAGTCACCAGCCGGGCAAGACGAGGTGTAGCGCAAAGTTCGCAAACACAACTAATATAAGTGTTTCATTATCATCACCAATGCTACCGATAGAGGAATGCGTGATGATCATAATACATAATTATTTCATTACTATTTCATCCCTACTGCTACAGAAATAAAGTATATAACATTATTTTTTGTAGCCTGAACTAGATACAGTATTTTCCTTAGCGTTCTATCTTCCTTGTTAATCATGTTTGAGAATTACAGAAAGATGGTTTTGTAGTTTCTGAATCCAAGACACTCACAGTCAATAAAAAAAAAAGTTGTGATTGAAAATTAAATTATATCACGTATTTTACTTACGTTTTGTCAACAAGAAGTTATGAAATTGAAATTCACTGAAAATATCGTTACTTCTCAATCTTGTGTTCTCATAAGACAAAAATGAGAATATTCCTCACATAAATACTCTGTTCTGATGATTGATTTACTACGTATGTATTCCTGCATCATATAACAGAATATATAAGGGTTTTTTCCACTCTAGTTTGATGCTTTTAATAATTATTGTTGGCCAGGTCGCGCGCGGAAATTCTATGTGAATAGTATCCTAAGCATATTTTTTCACTCCTAATATTTTTCCGTAACAATACCTAGAAATGTGCGTCAACAAATACACCAATAATAATAATAATAATAATAATAATAATAATAATAATAATAATAATAATGTCTCAGTCATACCGATACTGAACAATTATCAACCACCTTCCTTCACTTTGCTAACCATACTCGACGGCCCCTACCCCTGCTAACCATACTCGACGGCCCCTACCCCTGCTAACCATACGCGACGGCCCCTACCCCTGCTAACCATACTCGACGGCCTCCTACCCCAGCTAACCATACTCGACGCCCCTACCCTGCTATGCACCGACGGCCCTACTGCTAACTATACTGACCCCTACCCCTGCTAACCATACTCGACGGCCCCTACCCTGCTAACCATACTCGACGCCCCTACCCTGCTAACCATACTTGCTAACTATACTCGACGGCCCTACCCTGCTAACCCTGACTACCCTGCTAACCATACTCGACGGCCCCTACTGCTAACCATACTCGACGCCCTCCTACCCCATAACCTACTGACGCCCAACTACCCCTGCTAACCATACTCGACGCCCAACTACCCCTGCTAACCATACGCGACGGTCTCCTACCCCTGATAACCATACTCGACGGCCCCTACCCCTGCTAACCATACTCGACGGCCCCTACCCCTGCTAACCATACGCGACGGCCCCTACCCCTGCTAACCATACTCGACGGCCTCCTACCCCAGCTAACCAAACCATACTCAATAGCACCAGCCCCTCCCACACCCTACCCTTTCCCTTCACCCAAAACACGAGGAAAACATTCGCCTTCCCAAGTTGGTATCAGACGGATGCCAGCGGTTCGCTCCTAAAATTTGGGCCAAGATATTCTGCTGGAGAGAGAGAGAGAGAGAGAGAGAGAGAGAGAGAGAGAGAGAGAGAGAGACCGTTGAATGCTGGCCACACAGTTTTATTGTTGCAGGGGTGATGGACCAGTTCATATTGTTTACAAGTTGTGGAGATAGAAGGGACCAGTTTACGCTACCGTCTTGTGGTGGATGGGAAGGAGAGGTTCGTTCATACTGGGATTAGAATAGGTGATTATTAATATCTTCCGAAGGTCATAATGGGTTAGTTTAAATTACTCGTAGTATAGTTTTGAAACCGGTAGTGCTGAAGGACCGGTTCTTGTAATCTATAGCGATGATGTCCCGGTTCAAAGGGATTTACTGTTACTAGAAACCTATTTCCTTTCTTCGTAAAATCCAAATCGCAAAAAACTTTTCATACACGCTATCTACCCTACCATATAATACTCTTAGTACAATATTTCCGGATTACTCTAGGAACCTCTTAACTATCGCTCTTACTTACTCTTAAGTTATGATTCTTCACCGTAATTCTAGTTAGTTTATTCATCACCAATCATCCATCAATATAATTATACAAGACGTCAAAGTTCCCCTCCCAGGCCGCTAGAGGCGTTAAAGCGAACGAGGGACGGAGGGAGACGAACCTTCCCCAAGAATGGCGGGATAGGATCTGGCGGCAACCTTCTCCCCGTATTATGCATGCTTTTGATCCATATAATCACGTTTGTTGGCCAGCTTTCCTGCAATATAAAATGTTGATAGAGCCTGCTACGAGAAGGGGGGGGAAGAGGGGCCCATGCTATACTAACCCTTCCTAGAGCGACCGTCTTGAGTGATGGCATGGACGGAGGGGGGCGGGTGATGGAGGGAGTCGGCCGTTATGTTGTACCAAGTGAACCGTGAACCGTGCGGGAAACTTACAAGACGATGTTGATGGATATGCTCGTCTACATTATGGGTCCCTTATCTCACATTGAAATGGACTGATAACTCATTTTTCCCTTCATAATACGGGTCCCTAATTTAACTTTGACTTAAGGTATAGGGAAGACTTAGAATATACATGAGCTCATCTGACTACCATCGCATTAAGCTCTATAATTTTCAATTTTTTGTTGCTAAATCTAGAACCCTATATTATCGACAGTTATTCATGCAAGTTTCACCGAATTTACTAATTAAAGAGACAAAGATTCTACCTTCACTTAAAATTTACGGAAACTGATTTGACTTCCAAACTCATGGCGCAATTACTGCCTTCAAACACAAGCAAATATTTAGCATTTAAAACTGTCGCTTTTAATTCAACAACACATTCTAGATCAAACAAATTACCTGCGAAGTTACAAATAATTTTCTCTTATTTTTTCAAGTTTAAATTCACTCGAAACTGATTAATATATATATATATATATATATATATATATATATATATATATATATATATATATATATATATATATATATATATATAATAAATTATTTTGTAACATGAATATTGTAATACTAATCTCACTTTTATTTTACCGATACACAATATACGATATTTTTTTTAATTTATATTATAAACAAAAATATTTATAAAAGTATTTCAAGAAGTAAAGTTAATTTCTCAGTTTGGCGTGGTTATGACAATCAAAAATCACTAAAACAATTGAGCGTCTTAGTTCTCCCTCTGACCCCTGACGACTGTGGCGGGGTAACAAGTCCATCCCTACCTGAGTCTAATTACCTCTACCTGGCCTGGCCCGTCTGCCGCCGTCCCCCTCCCGCGTGTGTGAAGATAAACAAGATTAAATTTCCTCTTAATAACATAACATACTAAACCCTTGGCTCTAATATTACAGGCATGAAACACTAATGGCCGGCGGAACCCTCCCACTTACTTGTAGAGACAGCTCGTACACTATGTTCTTGTTGATATGAGTTTACCACTGCACATAGGTGCGTCCCGCGGGTACGCTGTGGCCAGCCTTGCCGGCCTAGGCAGCGGGGAGGGCAAACACGCCAATCTGGACCTTAAGGCAGGGCACAATAGCGATTATCGAGACGGGCCACAAGCAAGATTGTTTGTGACTTTACTACCCATCTATCTTTAAATGATATGTATATTGCTGCTTTCATGTGGAGATGATCCATTTAACGGAGGTAATAAACTTTAGACTTGGCCCTATTTTGCCGAATAATTGGTCGGTTAATTGAAATTGGCCAGTTAAAGCACAACTTGCATATGTATGAGATTTACGACCACCAGATTGCTTTGTGGCAGCATCTACTGTTCCTGTGGTTCACGAGGCTCGTTTGATAAATACTGGCAAAGGTTAAGAGAGTTAGCGAGGTGTGCTGGATGGAGCGGCAACACAACACAACACACTGATATGGAGACGCGACCCAACAATTGTTTCAAGGCGGGAAAATTATCACAGAGAAGAGTGACGCAGTTAAATAAAATAAAGAAATCTCTGAACATATTGACAAACACTCAAACGGAACAACACAGTTATCCACACAACATTGAACCAGAATTACTGGATATATTATAACTGTGCTTCAGAGTTAGTCATCTTAGCACTTTATATGCATGTGATATTTACGTTAAAACCATACACTATTTTATTATCTTTACTCTTTTAGTGTTAATACAAAGTTGCTTCAGTATTAGTATGTTGGAGATTATAAGTTTATTTACCTAAAAAAAATAAAAATTAGTATCGTTTATTTTTATATGGATCCATCCGTTTATCAATACACTTCACAAATCGGTAACAATCACGAATCAAAAGTCAAGCCAACTACTACAATATACTACTGTTTTTAATGTATAAGGGAAATAGATGATAAACTTCATAACAAGAGCTACATAATGAGAGAAAAACGAAGTGTTGAACCAGCAAAGTGCCATTTGTCATCTACCTTTCAAGAATAAAGCAATTTTAGAGATTTACTTAATTATAACCCAATATTAAAGTTAAATTATACTAAGCGTGCATAATATACGAACAATACTGTATCGATACTAATGGGAATACTGTCACACCAATAAAAATAAATAAATGCTTCCGTCAATGTAAACACCAAGTATAAAATTTCCTTAAAAACAGTGGAAAAAACGTTTGTAATAATTAATAAACGTGTACTTATATCATTACCACAACTATACAAAATAATTCAGAACCTATCGGGGGTTTTTTTCTCAAGTCAATTTTAATTTTCAAGCCAATACCGCTATCGACAAACGCAACTCAAGAAAAAATAAATAATTTAATCAATATCCTAAGTTAATAAAGATAAAAATAACAGCTCAAGATATTCAATATACTCGTAATATAACATCAAAAAATATCAAACTGTGGGGGTAAAATCGCTTCTCCGGGGGTGATGGATGGGAGGAGGTGGATAAAATATACCTTAAGGGTGTAGGTGTACTTACTTATTGGGTTCATTGGGATCTTTCTTCTTCTTGCTTTTCTTTGAGACTTTGGGTTTCTTGCCTCTAGCTGGACCCTCTACACTCTCTGACGATGGTCTCTTGCCTCGCCCCATCTGTCAACACAATAAAATATCAGACATTACTTAATACTCAACTACAATTATAATACCATTAATAATAACCATAAAAATAACTGATAATAATAACTAAATCAATAACACTAAGTTAGTAGGTGTTATTACTGACTAAATCAACTTTGTGTGCATTGGTTACGTATCCCCTTTCAAAATACTACTACTACTACTACTACTACTACTACTAATAATAATAATAATAATAATGATAATAATAATAATAATAATAATAATAATAATAATAATTTCCATCTCCTTTTACTTACTAGAAATATAAGAATAATGGCTATCAAAAAAAATGGACAATAACATCACGTTTCCCCTTCACTGACCAAAAAGAAAATGCTTAATTTGTTTTTTAATAAGTACGGACATTGTTAACTTATAGCTGGTGTTAATTTATATTAATATTGTTAATAAATCTACATATTTAATAAACTAAACAAATATTCATAATAAAATAAACTCATTAAATATTCCGTTGACTGAGGTTGTTACAAATGACATCACTAAATACAGGTTACAATGGGTTAAAAAAATATACCATATATCAAATATAACCAAGAGTATATATATCCCCGACACAGTAGCCACAGTATGAAAGTCTAGTGGAGCATTTAGCAAGTTTACACCATTACAGAGAACGTCGGGACATGTTAAGTGAGGTTTAATGAGTAACCAGCCAGTGTCCAGCTTGCCCCACCAGGTGTTACGACGTACTGCTACCTGTAATTCTTCCCTCCTTCACTAATTTACCACTACCACTACCACCCGACACTTATAAAAACTGCACACGAATTTGAATTAAAAGGTCAAGATGATGTCTATCCCTCATTGTCGCAAGGGTATATAATTATTAAATTGTATCAGTAAATGAAACAGCGTAATCTATCTTTGTATAACAGTAACTAACACAATATATTTCTCCTTTCCCACTCGAGTATCTTAGATTCTGGTTGGTAATTATTCAGGCAGGAAGAAAATAATCAACAAGGGAAGGAGGAGGAAGAAAGAGAGAGAGCAGTTATCCAGGCCGTAGCTCCGTCAAAACTGTCTCATGAATCAGTGATAGTTTGATCTTCATGAGACGTGAATGAGGACGGAACTCACCGCCGCCGCCCGGCTCAGGCAACGCTGATGAGGGGGGCCGCCCGCCGCCACCCGCCATGCATCACAAACCACCCCGCCGGCCACCCAGGCGCATCAGAGCTCGTCTCATTATGGATGCTCGCTTTAATTGGTGATGAGGTGGTTAAGGGTGAATGAGAAATGATCGCTTGGGACGTTTTGTCTCCCTGAACGAGAGAGAGAGAGAGCACTCCATAGCGCTTACTACCCGGGGAGGGGAGGGGTAGTACAATGAATGAGGCTCTTGGACCGTAAATTACACGAGCATACAGAATAACTTCACCTGTTCCAATATACACCGTTTAAATACCTCGTTCAACATTATTTACTTTTTTTTTACCATTACAAAAGTCTCGATAATCTGGTATTTATCTCATGAACACACCAAAAAAAAAATAATTTACTTGTTTCTCATATAATTAATAAAAGCATAGATTTCACCAGTAACGCACAAAATACAACTTAATTCACAACGATCAAAGAAATCGGTTGAAAAATGAACAAGAATAAAAACAATTACTTTAAAAAAATCAAGACAGGCGTCATCTACCGCTTCAATGGACGTCAAATTTTAACATCCTTGATATTTACGATTTAAATTACAACGAAAAATCTTGGATTCTTTTCAGCATTATGTAGTGTAATCTGACAATGTCTCTATCTCTCTCTGACTCTTAGCTCTCTCTTCTAAATTATTTCTCATTAACAATTACTGAGCAATGTTTTTTGGTGTTTTTTTTTCCAAGGCTGATTTTAATTCCCAGTAGCCTAGTTTTTTATTTTACGACGAGTGAATTAAAATGACTAATAGACCGATTTTGAGAGTTTTATTTTCTTCTAACTTACAATATATTATTTACAAGTTATTATATATTTTTTTAGAGTATAGTTTATTTTAATACGAATATACTGATTTATTTCAATACAACTGATTTCAATTTCCTAATCGCGTTTTATTATGAAGATTTTGTTTTATTACCAATATCTCAAGTCGGATTTATTCTCCTGTTAGCAGATTTAATTGACTATAACCTAATTTAGATTTATTTCTTTTTACTCATCAGAATTACAAAAAAAGAATAATTCAGAAATTAACACAAAAAAATATTTACTAATTTAAGTTAAACGGTAGAGAGAATGTGATGCCTTGTGGTTTATTGAATAGCTAAAGGAATGGTGGATTATAGTATGGTGGTGATGGTGGCGATGGTGTTGGTGAGGTGGTTGGTGTTGGTGAAAGTGATGGTGGCAGTAGTGTTGATGTTAGTAAAGGCAATGTTAAACATGTTGGTGATAGTGGTGATAGTGGTGGTGATGGTGATAGTGGTGGTGGTGATGGTGGTGGTGGTTATACAGGAAGAGTGAACTGGGGTGAAATTTACACCTTTGACTGTATTGGGGTGAAGAGGGTGTATAGGTGCTAGGGGTTGATGTGTGGGGGTGGAGGGAAGATAGGGTAGATGGGGGTGAGTAGGGTGTATATAGAGGGGTGGGGAGGGGTTGATGGAGGGGTGAGGGGTAGATGGAGGGGTGACAGACGACAGTGGTAGTCAAGAACCGAAGAGTGGACTGAGGTGAGGGAGTGTGGAAAGGAGAGAGAGAGAGAGAGAGAGAGAGAGAGAGAGAGAGAGAGAGAGAGAGAGAGAGAGAGAGGTAAGGAATGAAGAGCGAGTAGTGAAGTGTAACAAGCGAGGAGGGAAGATAACACGTCAAGGAGGTACGGGAGGTGCGGGAGGTCGGAAGGCCTTACGCGAGGGATCACCACAGCGGCCTCTTACACGATTGGAATTTACTGTCCCCAAACTGTCGGGAAAACAGAGCGTATAGCAGAGCCGCCACGTCGTAAACTTGCCGGTAAATCGCTATTGATCAGCGCCGCCACCAACGCCTCCATACTGCACCTCCTCCTCCTACTCCGACGACGACGACGAAGAATGAACGACCTGCCTTGAAGACGCCCCCACGCCCGCCCAAGGACTCACACGAGACAATCCCGTACAGAGCAGCAGGAGGAGGAGGAACCCTTGCCTCAACATGACTCAAGGGCACGACAAGGCTAATACCTGGTGGCCCTTCTACAGGTATTTTGTCCCGGCAACTGGTCTATCCCGTACTAGTTCGACTCTCTCAAAGGTAATCCCGACGGAGGAGGATATATACCCGAAGGAGGAGGAACTACCCGACATAGGAGAAAGTACCCAACAGAACCCATGGTGTAGTTCCTCACCCTTCTGCAGTAGCCCACCAACTACCAGGTCCTACCACACACGACCTATGATGCTGGATATAGTGTTTATTTACCACACACGAGGGACTTATGGCAGACTTACCACCTGAAGCTAAATGATTACAAATATACGTGGATCATAACACCTGTGCCAGACTACACCTGTGCTTGACTATCTCCCACCTGTGTTTGATTATCTCCCACCTGTACTAAGACCATTACCACTCACCTGTGCCAAGGGCGTAGAGTCGTCAGAGTCGTCACTCCCTGGGGAAGGTGACCCTCCTGAGTTGGGTGACCCGCCGTTCCTGGCCATGGGCGGGCGGGGGTAATAGCCACCGCCCATCATGGCGCCCATCATGTGAGGACCCTGAGGTGGTCCTGTCACGTGCATGCCCGGACTAGCGCTGGTGTAGACAGATGTCGGCGGGCCACAGCCGGGATGGACCATGTAGGCAGAGGTCCTGTGGGGTGGAGTAATGGTTACTGTCGAGGATTACTGTCGGGGAACTACTGTCGGGAAACTACTGTCGGGAACTACTGTTGGGGAACTAACAAGAAAACACCGATAATTTAGGTGAAAAACATAATAATTAGAATAAAAAATAATTAACGTCAAAGAAAACTGGGAATAATAATTTAGACGATGAAATGATATAATTTGTGTGGATAAAAAGATAATTTGAATGATATAATTTACATGTAGGAAATTATTTGACCCGAAAAAAAAAATATATTGATTAAAAAAAAAATATTTGAAAACGAACAATAATTTATGACTCGCTGGTTTATGAACGATGCATAATAATAATAATAATAATAATAATAATAATAATAATAATAATAATAATAATAATAATAATAATAATTAACGTCACACAACTTTAATTATCGTACGCAAAATCATCTACAGTACGTCAACCCAAAAAAATTTCGTACCAGACCTCGCAAGCTATCGTTTAACGTGTTGTTATTTTACTAGTGACCGCTACAGCTGGTGTACGCTGTATGGGGATGATCGCTATAGAGAATTACCGTTATACTGTGGTGGCAGACAGTAAATAACGTTATATGTGGGTGGCCGCTATTGTGAGCTGAAGTTATATGAGGCTGAACGCTATTTGAGGTTACCGCTTTACAGGTGACCGCTACATCAAGTTACCGCTTTACAGGTGACCGCTACATCAAGTTACCGCTTTACAGGTGACCGCTACATCAAGTTACCGCTTTACAGGCGACTGCTACATCAAGCTGCCGATTTACAGGTGACCGCTACATCGTTACCGCCTTACAGGTGACCGCTACATCAAGTTACCGCCTTACAGGTGACCGCTACATAAAGTTACTGCTTTACAGGTGACCGCTACATCAAGTTACCGCTTTACAGGTGACCGCTACATCGCTGGCCGCCTTTACAGGTGACCGCTACATCAAGTTACCGCTTTGCAGGTGACCGCTACATCAAGTTGGCTACTGCCTTCAGGTGACCGCTACATCGGGTTACCGCTTTACAGGTGACCGCTACATCAAGTTACCGCCTTACAGGTGACCGCTACATCAAGTACCCGCTTTACAGGTGACCGCTACATCAAGTTACCGATTTACAGGTGACCGCTACATCAAGTTACCGCTTTACAGGCGACTGCTACATCAAGTAATTGCAAAAAAAAAGGTGACCGCTAAAGCGAGAAAACGCTACTATAGTGACCGCCAGATTAAGTTCCCGCTACTGACGAGTGACCACTACATCAAGTTACCGCTTTACAGGTGACCGCTACACCAAGTTACCGCTTTACAGGTGACCGCCACATCAGGTTGCCGCTACAGACAGATTACCGGTACCTCAAGTTATCTTTTACATCAAGTGACAGCTACATCAGGTGACCGCTAGATTAAGCTACCGCTACATCAGGTGACCGCTAGATTAAGCTACCGCTACATCAGGTGACCGCTAGATTAAGCTACCGCTACATCAGGTGACCGCTAGATTAAGTTACCGCTGCATCAGGTGATCGCTGGATTAAGTAACCGCTAGATTAAGTTACCGCTACATCAGGTGACCGCTAGATTAAGTTACCGCTACATCAGGTGACCGCTAGATTAAGTTACCGCTACATCAGGTGACCGCTAGATTATAACCGCCAGATAAAGTTACTGGCGATTGGGCCATACATCAGGTGACCGCTAGATTGCTACCGCGCCACATCAGGTGACCGTTAAATTAAGCTACCGCTACATCAGGTGACCGCTAGATTAAGTAACCGCTAGATAAAGTTACCGATAGATTAAATTATCGCTACATCAGGTGACCGCTATATTAAGTTACCGCTACATCAGGTGACCGCTAGATTAAGTAACCGCTAGATTAAGTTACCGATAGATTAAGTTATCGCTACATCAGGTGACCGCTAGATTAAGTAACCATTAGATTAAATCATCGCTACATCAGGTGACCGCTAGATTAAGTTACCGCTACATCAGGTGACCGCTAGATTAAGTAACCATTAGATTAAATTATCGCTACATCAGGTGACCGCTACATCAAGATAACCGCTATATCAAGATAATCGCTAGACAGATGACCGCTACATCAAGTTACCGCCGCTACAGACAGATAACCACTAATCCACATATCACAGACTACAACAACAAGCAATTTACTCATTACCTTTCAAAAATATTCCCCGATATATTTCACTCACTCAAAGTGCCTTGTAATCAAATAAACGAAACTAATTAGAATATCGTAATTAAAAGAGGAAAAAAATGCATCTAATTTTCTTTATAATGCTACGGGCGAAATAAAATTAATTACTACTGTATTTCTAATCTATTATGAATTGTATTTGGGGGTATTTTTCCAGTACTAGTTGAATACATTTTGGATGTATTGGTGTATTAATTTTTGTAATTCATAAATGATTGAGTTTTTGGTACACTTAGTTTTAGTTAATTAATTCGGTAAATATTTGATAGGCTTCGGACACAGCCAGTTAGTTATAAATTAATGTATAATTTATCTTTCAGATTGATGTAGTTGATGTCATAAATTACGTCACTTCACCCTCCCCCTCCCCCGTCTACCTGCGTCTACCTGTGTCTATATTGTTTACAAGTTTATAATAATTTACAAAGTTAACGATTTACAAGCTTTTAAAATATAATGAAATAATGACAATGTAAGTAACAGTCATTATTATCATTTTTATTATTAGTTTTTTTTTTTCATTACCCAAAATGTTATTGTGGTGATGAATCGTACGGCTGTCAGCAAAGAAACGTACGTCTGGCAGCAAATTTAACTCATGTTGTCGTACTGCATATTGTCGCTTAAGGGAAAAGTTCTGTCTGTCTGTCTGTCTGTGTCTGTCTGTCAGTGATGTTAAAGTACAATATTACCAGAATAAAAAAAAATAAATCCTCACTAACACAGAAACAGTTACTAAATTAGCTTTTTTTTACTACACCAACAAGAAATAAATCAGTGTTGCCAACTTACTGAACAGGGCCCATGTGGTTATGCTGGGATATGGGCGGGATGTAGAGGTTCTGAGGCGGAACTGTGGGTTGGCAACACCCATGCTGCCAGCCACGGCCATCTGAAGCATCGAGAGAGAAACATTTTTAATCACATAACGAAGGAAAGAGATGATGTAGAGGAAAGAGAAGAGGAGAATAAGGAAGAGAGAGAAATATTTAATCAGATAACGAAGAAAGGGAGATAAAAGGGATATAATGAAGACAGAGAAGAGGAAACGAGGCAAAAGATAGGAATATTTGTAATCAGATAACGAAGGAAAGAGATGATGAAGAGGAAAGAGAAGAGGAAAATAAGGAAAGAATAGATATATATATATTAAATCAGATAACGAAGAAAGGGAGATAACGAAAGAGATAATGAAGAAAGAGAAGAGGAAAAGAGGAAAAAGATAGGAACACATTTAATCAGATAACGAAAAAGACAGACAAAAAGAGGAAGAAATTTAAGAAAAAAGACAAAAATGATCAAAAGAAAACAGAGAAGAGGGAAATAAAGATATAATAAAGATAACGTAATTCCTCCTCCAATCATACTCGTATATCTAATGAGCCTCAGGATATAGAGAGTCTTATTACTGATGTGTTAAAAGGCTCAACGTATAGTATGGTAGTTTAAGACGAGGGGGGGGGGGAGGGAGGGATGATGGAGAATAAAAGGGAGAGGGGAAGGTGGAAATGGGGAGGAGGAGGAAGGGGAGAGAGGGGAAGGAGGAGGTATCGTTCGTGCGTGTGTGTGTGTGTGTGTGTGTGACCCGACCTGACCCATGAATTGTATTAGTTAGCAATGTGGGTAAATGGAGTGTGGATTAAGTAGATGGGTAATGTGGGTAGATAAAGTAGGTAAGTGATGGGGAATGGACTTCACATGGATAGTTGAAGTGAATAAGTGGATGAAACTAAGATAACGTGGGTAGATGATGTGGTCATGGTGAGACGTATAGAGATTCAACATTACCTGAGGGTGTGGATACATGGTCTGGGTGTGATGAGGATGGGTGTGGGCGGCTGAAGTAGTGTCGGGTTCCTGTTGTGGAAGTGTGGATGCCAGTCCCTGTAGATCACCGTAGGCCTCTCATCACTGCCGAAGTTACCGTAGGCGGGCTGTACGGAAGACAAAGAGACGGTTAATTAATATATTACCTGTTAATGGGGGTATAATTTCACATGAGATAATTAATTAAGATGTTTTAGAGAGAAATTACCTGAAAAAAAATGGATTATCTTTAATTTATCTTTATTTTACTTTATTTTATTTAATGTTCGTTCTACAGGATGATATTAGGTTGAGAGTATACAGGTAGAGTTATAGCCAGGAGAGAGAGAGAGAGAGAGAGAGAGAGAGAGAGAGAGAGAGAGAGAGAGAGAGAGAGAGAGAGAGCAGCTTGAAGGCAAAGGCGAGCAGCAAGAGGAAGAAGAAAATGAGGAAGATGGAGGAGGAAGGCGAGGCAACAGTCACCCAAAACACACACACACACACACACACACACACACACACACACACACACCATCATATACACACAACAACACAGCTCTTCCTCTCCTCCCCCCCAACTTTGCTGTGTCTTGCCTCTTCTTGATGGACAAAATTGAACAAGACAGACAGGTATCCTTCAATTTCAGCTCCATCGCTTTCATAATAGCATTCCGAACCGTGGGTGCAAGACGGACTTTACCACCACGAAAAATGTGCGCCGTAGTTTGGATCTTGTGACCCTGTGGCGTAAGGTATAAAAACGTAGGCGTGAGAGACCTGCTGTACCCATGAACGTAGGAAATCCGCCACCAAACTTATCCTTCCCTGGGGGACAACTTAGTTCGCAACGGCCAAATTAAAGTACATAGATTTTCATTTAGTCTGGCGACATTATGCTCTCTCTTCGCATTACCTATGCAAGCGACTCTCCCGCCCTGCGACATGGGCCTTACCCCCACCTGTACCAACGATAAGGAGTTCCACCCTTCCGTCCCTCTGCCACAAGGTCTACTTATTAACCCCCCCCAGCCACGACCCGGGCTTGAGCCTCCGCCACTGGTATTTCCACATATAGATGCAAATGAACCGATTTATGTGCGTTTGTTAATAGAAATTTTTTCGTTGCTCTTAACTCTACACAAGTTGTACGGCCGAGCGGTGGTGGTGCGCTGAGCCCGTCCTGATGTTGAGGGGAGGGGGAAGAGGGGGGAAGAGGAAGAGGGGGAGGAAGAGGAGTAGGAGAAGGAAGAGGAGGATGTGTATGTATTGTCGTCACAACCTCCTCCCAGACGATAACATCACACACTGTACTTGTGTTTCTTTAAAGGGCTGAGGCATAACCTCCCCTCCTCTTTGTCCACCTCCTCCTTCTCCCTCCTCCTCCTATCCTCCTTGTCCCCTCCTCCTCCCTCCATCCTCCTTGCCCCCCCTCTTCCTCCCCTTATGACTCTCAGTACGACTTGGTGTTATTAGCTCAGGCTGGCGGGTCGTTCGCTCTGTTGACAATCAGTTTAAGGGCCTGATACAGCAGGAGGGACCTGTACGACTTGACTGGGGGTCGAGGGGTCGAGGGTCGTGGATGGAGAAGGGAATCATGACGTGAGGGGAGATCTATTGGGGGCATGGAGGGGGGTGGGATCAAGCTCGCGGAGGAGAGGAACAAATCCATAGTGGTCTTGATGGAGACGGAAAGAGGGTACAAACCCATGGGTCGTAATAAGAGGAACAGGCCCATGGGAGTCGTAGTGGGGGTGGGGGTGGGAACAAGCCCATAGTAGTAGTAATGGGAAGGGGAAGAGGGAACAACACAAGCCCATGGTGGTCGTGAGGGAAGGAGGAGGGTAGGGGTTAAGGTAAGCCCATGGGGTCAAGGAAGGAGGAAGGGAGGAGAGAAGGGAAGGGGGGGGAGGAAGAGGAGGGATGGGAGGGGGGAGCATTTAATGGCAAGGTCGAGAGCCAATGGCCATTTTACCGGGGAGTCAAACACAGAAAAGGGACAGGTCATTTAAATGGGATTATGGGAGAGGAGGAACCATTTATAAAGGAGGAGGAGGAAGAAGAGGAGGTGGGAGGAGGAGGATATAGAGAAAAGGAGTAGGAGGAGCAGGAGGAGGATGTTGGGAGGTAGGGGAGTAGGAAAGGAAAGGAATGGGAGGTGGAAGATGAAGAGGAATGACGAGAGGAAGGTGGAAAAGGGAGTAAGAAGTGGATTAAAACGATACAAGAGGAAAGAAAGAAGAAGAGGAAAGAAGAAGAAGGAAGAGAGAGAGATAAGATATATAGGTCCTATATTATCCTCTTTAAAAATTATCTCTAAAACTATCAATTAATTTTAAAAGAACTAATGGTTAAAAAAATATACATTAGTCACCGTTGTAAAAGAAAACGAAATGAAAAGGAAAACGTAGGAGATGGAACCGATAACTCATCCAATCTCATTTACACAGCGCTATTATTATTGTAAATACTGTAAATACATCCATACAAACTACCAACAAACATACAGTAAATATTATCGTAGATACAAAAGATAAATTAATATATACAGTAAAATAAATGAAAATAAAACCTATAAATAAATCACTTACAAAACACACACACACACACACACACACACACACACACACACACACACACACACACACACACACACACACACACACTCTCACAAACACATACATACACACACACACACACACTCACAAACACAACACATTCACATCCAAATACAACAAAACACACCCACACCACACTCAAACTCAAAGACACACACACACACACACACACACACACACACACACAGCTCTCCACACATCGGCTTTAAGACCTTCATTTCCGAGCCCAATATTGTAAAATAGAGAGCCCAGCGCTAAGCTTTTCCTTCCGAACCGTCAGTTTCTCAGACGAGCCCAGAATGTCTACAGGGAGATACACTATAAATCTTTTCTTTATTATTGATCTACGACTTATTTGAGGGTATATTATATTAATGTAGTAGTGGGGGTGAGGTTGAGGGAGGGAGGTCGGAGGTGTTAGGTTGGGAGGCCGGAGGTGAGGTTAGGGGGGGGAGGTCGGGAGGAGGTTAGGTTGGGGAGGTCGGGAGGTGAGGTTAGGTTGAGGAGGGAGGTCGGAGGAGGTTAGGTTGAGGGAGGGGGAGGTAGGGAGGGGGTAGGGTGTGAGGTCATGTAGATAAGTATATTGGTTACGATTTAATATTCTATCTCTTATCTCTACCTCTCTATTTCTCTTTTACCTCTTATTCTTCCTCCTTTTTCTCTCTCTTCTTACATTAAAATCTTCTCATCTCTTCTGGCTCTCTCCTTCACTATCTGTCTCATCTCTCACCCTTTCTCCTCCTTTCCTCAAGCATCTATCTCTCTCTATCTCTGGTCTCCCTCTATCTCCCTTCCTTTCTGCTGCCCTCTCTCTCTCTCTCTCTCTCTTTCTCCCTCCCCTCTCCCTCTCCTCACCCATCTCTCCTCACCCACCTCCCTCACCCATCTCCCACCCACCTCCTCACCCATCTCCTCACCCACCTCCCTCACCCACCTCTCCCTCACCCATCTCTCTCACCTCTCCCTCACCCACCTCTCCCCACCCATCTCTCCTCACCCACCTCTCCCTCACCCATCTCTCTCCCTCCGTTAGAACTTCCCTCATATCGTTCAGGCTTGGTAAATCATGTGTAGTTTCTCTCCTTTGGTCAAACGTTTCCCCATTTTTCTTCCTCAGCTGGTAAGAATATCCTACATTCTTTCCTCCCTGTGTAGCAAACGTTTGTATCTTCAACGTTTTTTCCCTCCGTTAGACGTTTGTTGTTATTTTTGTTATGTAAATGTTTTCCTTCTGACGTTTTTGTTGCTGTTGTAACATAAACGTCTTTCTCTTCAACATTTCCCTTCAATAAACGTTTTGTTTTACTCCATTTAAAAAAAATCATCTCGACGTTTTCACCCCCGTTAAACGTCTCTGGGTAACGTATCCTCTCACTCACACTGCTAAACAAACACACAGACACAGTTTTATCTCCTCTCAACGTCTCTCTCTCTTTGTGGTTTCTTTCGTTAAACGTCTCTCTCTCTTTCATCGTTTACTCTTCGTTAAACTAAATACCGCTCCTCTGGTCCTTCCCGCTGACCAAACAATATCACACGAAGGAGAAAAAAAAATTGTGTCAGCCTTTATATTTACTTCCGTCTATTCTCTCTACTTTTGTTACTTTAACTTCTGGACTTTCAACAGCTAAGACTATCAAGCATCGTTCATTAAGTCGTAATTTAGACAAAAGGCGGCAGAAAGCTTTTAAAAAAATGAAGTTAGTTTTATTTTATTTTTTTTAGTTTAACACGTACAAAAATGTTTATACAGAAAACGGGAAATATATCATCCAATTTTCTTTCAAAGTTTGATGGGAGACTAAACAAAACCTCAGGATTAAAGTTTTACTATGGAAAACGATATCCAGTGAGGCAAATGGGCATTGAAAAGGGAAGAGAGAGAGAGAGAGAGAGAGAGGAATGTAAATAAAGATGAAATTCCATCCTGTGAGTCTTATTTAAAAACGAGACTTATTTAACCAACACACAAACCTCATTCTCAAGTGTTTTATTCTTCATTAAAATACCAAAGAGGCTTTACTAAGACTCTTTAATCATAGTAAACTGTATTAATCCTCTCCTAAGGCTCCCAAAAACCACCCACCTAATTGTTTCCAAACGTTATCTCTCCCTTAAACGTTCATTTTTCTTCCTCTTAACTTTTTGTTTTCTACTTTCAAACGTTTCATTTTTCTTTGTCGTCATATTTTTCAAACTTTTATCTCTCTCTATTTACTAAAAGTCTCCTAAAAAAACGTTTCTATTATGCTCTTTAAAACGTTTTTGTAAATCACCAACAAAAACAAACACAATAAAATAAATAAAATAAACCATAAAAACTATCTATAAGAGAGCAAACAATTCCTCAGTACTTTTTCTCCCCCTCTCCTCCTCCCCCCTCCTCCCTCCTTCCTTCTCTCCCAACCCATCCCCTCTCACTTATACTCCATCTACTTCCCTCCCTCTAAGCACATTAAGTCCCTCCTCCTTCCCTCCTTCTTCCTCCCTCCCTATATGTCTTCCCTCCAT